TTTGCGGATGACCCTGTTAATTTCATCAATCAATGGGTGGCCAGTCAGAGTCGTGACCTGGAGGTGAGAAGCGCGCAAATACTAAGAGGGCACCAATGATCGAGTAGGAACGACGAGGAACTGACTTGCGTGTTTTCAAGGTTATCCTTGGCGATACCCGAGTGAACTTGGAAGAAATACGACGTTCAGACTTTTACGCAAAAGATTCTGTGTACGAAGCCGTGTTTCATCATCTACGACAGAAGGATACACAATAATCCTCACTGCCATTCTTGTACATTAACTTAAATAAATCGCATGCTTGGAGCCTGTGTTTTCTTTTTTGGCAGAACTTTGCAACCGTGCAATTGGGACCAGAGCTAGTGAAAGAATTAAGAGATCTCTGAAAACAAAAGCTTACGTCCGGCGAAGCCATATTTCCTCTAAGCTAAAATAACTACATTGCCATTGTGGTCCACTCGTCCTCATCGAGCCATTCCGGCGCAATCACATTCACCACGCCAGGGTGGACCTCCACCTTGATCGGCCCATACGGTATCTCCTCCCCACTCACATCCAAAATCCCCTGTTTCTGCCCAGGCTTCGCCGCCCTTGGTTTCTCCCCATACGTCCACCCTTTCGGATCCAACACGAAAGCGCGGACCCGTTCACTACGGATATAGGGAAACTTCAAGTACGCCCCCGTCCCCTGATCCAAAACCGGTTGTAAACACTGCCATCTGGAGATGCGTTCCGCCCAGATCAAATGTAAGGACCCATCGTTGAGGCGGGTTGATGGTGACGTGAGAAAGTCGGCGGATATCCAGGGCAGGTTGGTGGCGATGAAGAAGCTGAAGGGTGAGTCGACGAGGGCGGGCCAGCTGGTGTAAGGTGGGGAATCGGGTGCGGTGTGAAGACGAGGCGGGCCGTGATGCGGGGTTTCGGTGGGGCCACTGAGGCGGGCGGGTGATGGGGAACCGGGGATCAGTTGCGTGTTGGATGTTGCGGAAGTTAGGGACGCGCGGGTGGCATCGGCGCTCAGCGGGGCGTGGAACCCTTCTCTTTTGGATATGAGGTGGTCCCTTCCTGAATCGTTCGCCCCCTGCATGTATTCATCCGATCCCAAACCCTCCGCTGGAAGGTAGTATATCGTTCCTCGGTAAGTTCGGAGCCAGATCAATCGAATCAGGGCGGCGACTGTAAAGCGCTCGCGCCCAATCCAACGGTAACGGTCCGACTCGATATCCAAGTCTGCGAGGAATGTCCACATCACCTGCAAAACCATTTCATAAGTAACTTCGCCCATGTTCCATGATCAGCAGGCAGGGGAAATCAACCTGAAGATGACTGTAGGTTACACTTCCGTTCTGCGTTACAGAAAACACGTCCATTGGAACATTGCGCGCTGCGACCACAAGAAATGTAAGCATCGGATCTGAGAAGTATGGGAGAGAGGATCCCACCTTTGATGACAGCTAGTGTTGCAAGTTCTGGGAACATAACATTAAGATTCCTTGCCATTGCGTTGGACGAACCTTTTAATGATGTCAATGCTCTGCTCTAATTCCGGCAATTGCCACAAGAAAGGGTAGCTTAAGTCACGATACCTGCGGGAATAAAGCCCAGAGGAAGCTTTCTGGCTTCATCCCAGTCAGGTCGCGTCAACAAGCCATTGAGAACCTCGTGAAAGACACCATCGCCGCTCACGGTCACCGCAGCGGAATATTGGTTTATTTCAAGAGTTTGGGCAATTTTGGTGGCATGTAGAGGAGCATTCGTTTCTGAGAATGCAAAGCAATCAGAACGCAAAAATCTTCACCCCCATAAAACGGGAGACCAAGTGTCGCTACCGATGAGCTCAATATCGCAGCCCGCAATCCGAAACATTGGCGCAACAATTGATTTGTAGACTTTCACGGCTTCTCCGATTCCACCATATGGATTTACCAAGACGAGGATCTTTTTGCGCGTCGGGCGGGGAGCTGTGAACGCGCGGTGTTGGTTGGCAATCCCAGGTAAAACCGGCCGAATTGACACTCTCAGAGTCACCTTCGATGCCCACGCGTGCCAGCGCAGCCTGCACAGCTTGCACGCATTGAGCTGCACTCTCCACATCCTTGTGCTCTATCAAAACCTGGCGAATGCCGGGTTTGCGATCCATTTTGCCCCCTTTGGTCGTCACGCCGTGCAAGGTGCAGTACCTACTGCGCGCAGAAGCGATAGCTGCGGCGCCCTTTGCAAGAGTACGTCGGGCTGCCGACGGCGACGAAGAGGTGCGCGGCTCCGGCCCTCGCGTATGCGTCGCCCCGAAAAGAAACCCAAGCGGCAGAACGACAGTTTTCGACGGCGCTGTGGGAGGGAAGTGCATGTTTCAACCTTGAACCGCCCAAGTCCGTATGAACTGGATCATGACCGGTAAAAGCAAGTACCTCCAGGAGACGAAGCGCTGGTCCATCCAATCGAGTCCGGGGAAACTTTCAAAGTTGCTTCACGCGGTTTGCCTTGAGAAGTGCCGGGTACCGATACACCGCAGAGCTCCATGGGGGAGTCCGCATTGTCCCAGTGGAGCAGCACCTGGCCAGACCAGAGAGGTTTCACCTCTGCGCCGTTTGAAGTCATTATTTCCGACTCCTATATTGTACAGCTGTCCAGTGGTCCAACTACGATGAGACGGTTGCAATTGCGAGGGGGTTGCTTTGGGGGAAGCACACGCAAACGAGGAGGTTCCGTTTTCGGGTCAATTCTTGGAAACTGTGCCACCAACGGTTGGTTTGGGGTTGGGTGTCCAAACGCGTAGGAGTAAACAGAATCTCCCTGCGACAAGCGAGCACCACTGCAACACGGAAATTGTGGAAACACTTTGGATTCTTGTCCCAAAATCACATACAAAAGTTACATTATTAAGCCTCCAATTTCAGGAGTTCGCCCACATTATCAGATGCACGCAAGAAGCTGTTCTGGTAACTCTTGTTTGCACGGAACGACACGCGTTTCTGCTTCCCTCCCTCATCAACAATGGGAACGTACGCCAATCGTTCCTAGTATATCCAGCCACAAATAGTTACAACCAGATGTTAAAGCTCTCGGGCGCACAAAAGGCAGCCTGTTTTACGAACCTTCTCAGACCAGTAATGATGTGACTCTGGCGGCGCCTGGACAGTGACGCTGGTGTTTCGTCCCCATTCGGCATTGGCAGAGTAGCGGGTGTGTACAATCAGTTGGCCAGAAGGCGGTGAGACTGCGAGAACCGTTCTTGGCGCGGCAAATTGGTCTGGGTTGGATCTATGAAGGGGGTTCAGTAAACGCGTGCAGACGTCTGAAAGGTGTAGTGCTGCGCAGTCGGATACCTGGAATACTTGTCCCAGGCTCCACTTTCCAACATCAAGACTTCTCGTATGTTGCGGGGTTCATACGCGTTGGTTACCAAGATGTGCGCGGGGATGGGACGAGACAGCGGCAGTGTGAGATCCGCCGGTGCTGCGTGGCCTGATCGTTTGGACAATTTGGCATAAGAGCATGCATCATCCCTCTATCCAACTCAATAAAGCCCCCCGCGCGAACGCACTCACACTTTCTCAAATCCTTTTTTCCAAACCACGGAGCACCCTCATACGGCTCCGGTCCCGTACTCGCCAAACTCTTAGGTCGTGACAGTCCCATTACCTCCCCATTCCCTCTCATCAAATCACCCCGGAACACGGTCGGAGGGGCCAAGATGCGACGGTCACCGGCACCACCGGCTTTGTTGACTCCCAGCGGCATCTCTTTGGCACTGGACGCCAAAGAGTTTGTGAATTTCACCCGGTTGGATCGACCGAATGTTGTGGGTCGCGTTCGGAAGGGGAAGAGTGTGGTGGGTGGTGCGTAATGTTCGGACCGTTGTTTGGTGCGGAGCGGGGGAGGTGCTGGTCGTGGCGGGGGTTCTCGACTCTCTTTTGGTACGGATGTGGGACCGGGTGGAGCTGCAACGGACCATTTGGACTGTTCGCCCTTCCGGTCACCCTCTCCCCCTTCCTTCTCTCGTCTACGACTCGCGTTTCCACCAACCGGTACCGACACCGACCTACTCACCCCACCCTTCACCTGCCCCTTCCCAACCGACACCCGACGCACGGCTTCCTCCCTCTCCACCCCGCGTTCGTCACCCCTCGGCACATCCTCCCGACTCTCGACCTTCACAATCGTGATAACCGACCTGCCTTCTTTGTCCACACCCTTCCCTCCATCACCCTGTGCGGTAGCGCGCGCAGTGCTAGGTCGGCTGGGTATTTTAGACGGCCGGCGGTGTCCGGATGATGCGCGGGATGCCGCGCCGGCGTCGTCGGTGGGTAAGTCGGTCTGGGTGTCGGGGTTGCCGATTGTGAAGGGTTTGAAAGAGTCGGAGGAGTAGGAGCGGATCGAGAAGCGCGGGGTGGAGGCCGAGCGTTGGCGTGCGGGTGGTGGGTCCGTTGTTGTGGTGTCGGGTGGGTTCTGTGGTGGGGATGTGAGCGGAGTTGTGCGGTCTTGGGGTGGTGCGGATGCATCGAGTTTGAATCCCACTGACGACTTTTTCAGCGAGTGGGATGAGCCGTTCGGCGACTCCCCCATGTCTTTAGCTGACAGTGGACCCGCTTCTGAAACCTCCATCGTTGTTTGTTACGGACCGTAGTGGAAGAGAGTTCATGACAAAACCCCAAATTAATCAAACCACCCGAAAAAATCGCTGGTGTTGGCAACATCACGATTATTGCGACACAGTTCACCAAACAAAATTTATGAAAGCGAATGGACACCAACCGTTGAGGTGGTACTTTCCGATCAAAAGTCCCGGGGTGGAGCAGGTGTGAAGAGCAATGCACACAAATGAAAATAATTTGCACACGACTATAGCCAGGCACTCGTCGTAATTGTTTCCTTATTGCGGGCGCTCCACGCAGAACCGTCGGTGTCGGCGGGCTGAAAAAAAAGGGTGCAAGCTTCGTACCAAAACCAAACGGGCAGCATATGCTATCTAGTAGAGGAAGTTTAACCATTCACCCAATAGGTCCCACCGAGATTCGAACTCGGGTCGCCAGATTTCTATCATGCCAATTCGGCGCAGCTTCAGAGTCTGGAGTGATGACCATCTACACTATGGAACCTTACACGAAAGTGTAAGTTTCCCCAACCACAGAAGGACATCGTATCCGTTAGATGGCCTTTCATGCGACCCTGATGGTGCTCCCCCCAAAATAACAAAAGTATGAATTTGCGTGACCGAAACAATAAGGCAACGGGCTCGGCTCGCTGCCCTCTTCTCCGTCGAAAGCATTTCTGATGCGGCCACGACACTTTGCCTGGCCCTCTAATGCGGTTGATGCCGCTTCAGCCGCTTCCATCCCGCTAGTGTATTTCCCAGGATGACAAACCGAAAAAAGAAAAAAAGAGCTGACCGACCCGCAGCCACGGCAGAGGAACGCAACTGTACGCTCAACCTCCGCTCAGACCTTCCGTAAACAAGGGTATGATATTCTGCGGTCAAGCACGCTGGATACCCACATTCCAACGTCGTGATGCCCACCACCAAGGAATTTCAAGGCGGCAAGGAGAGGACCGGTGCAGTACGCCCGTCCGCTCGTTCATTAAAACCATTTTGGGAAGTGGTCTGGGGTCCCAATCAATTGACGTGACCGTGATACCGCCTCTTCCCCGGCGCAACCATTTCTGTGAGGCCAGTGGCAACGGCACTTTGCGTTGCCCGCTAACATGGTTGATACCGCTCCCAACCATGTTAACGCTCCCATTCCCTATTGTAGTTCCCAAGAAGACAAACCCAAAAAACGAAAAAAAAGAGCCTAATAGGGGGGCCGGGAGAATCCAAGGCAGAGGAACGCTAACACCGCTCATCTTCCGTTCCAACAGTGCGATATTTCTGACTTCCCATTTTGCCCGTGGATGGCCGGTTCATTCCAACGTTCATAATAGGCGACAAGAGGACCAAAAAAATATCAGCGTGACGCGACTATAAGGGAGGGGAAGGGCACGGAACGCTCCCCGCTCGTCCGTTCAGAAATCAATCCGGAAGTGTCGTACGGTGGTCTGGACCTGCCGATTAAATATGTAATCCGGCTGTGGGGTTTCCATATCGCTTTGGTACTTCCAAGTTCAGAAACACGAAAACAAAATAGCAAGTAGCAAGTACGAGAAAACGCAGATCATGATACTGTATTTTGTTATGGATAGCAAAACAAAAATTAACAGATAGAAACAAAAAGACGGGGTAGGACGTGCATAAAACAAAAAGAACACACAAAAAGGACAACTTATTTACACGAAAACGCACTACTAAAAATCCTCCGCCCCCGTGTAAAAAAAAAACAAATGGGTGAATGATGTTTTTGCCAGGACTCCCTCCTTCCTCTTATCCACGCCACCCGTACCCAAAATCCCACCTCAAGCAAAAGAACACAAAAAATAAAAAATATAAACCCCCCAACATCAATCTTCCTCCCTCTTCCGTCCAGCACACCCACCCCTAACGTGCCTCCTCAAATTACTCAACACGCTAAACTTGCGGCCACACCCACCAGTCGCACCTCCCTCACTTAAACTGCCATCGCACACAAACGGCCGCTCGCCGGTGTGACTGTGCATATGCGTTTTGAGACTTGACGGCCGGGAGAAGCGCTTGGAGCAGATGCTGCACGCGTACCGGTAGTTGGTTTGTGTTGACGTTGAGGTCGCTGTGGTGACGGTGGTGGGCGTGGGGAGAGGATTGCTGCTGCTGGAACCGGTGGAGGAGGAGGAGGAGCAGG